ACTTTGGAGAGCAGTATGGAGTTTCCTCAAAAGACTCCACATACAGCTCCCCTATGATCCAGCAATCCCACTTTTGGGCATTTACCCAAATGATCACAAACAAAACCATACTAAAGCTACCAGTACAACTATGTTTATTGTAGCATTATTTACCATAGCTAAGATGTAGAACCAAATCAGATGCCCCTCCGTAGATCAATGAATCAAGAAAATGTGATATATATATATATATATATATATACACACAAACATACACACACACACACACACACATACACAATGGAATTCTATTCCTCCATCAGAAAGAATGACATTGCCCATTTGTTAAGAACTGGAAAGTCTTGGAAAAAATTATATTAAGTGAAGTAAACCAGGTCCAAAGAAACATATGTCCTATAGTTTCCCTTATTTGCAATTACTAGTATATGTCTGGGACAATCAGAAAAGTTCAAAAGCTATGTACATATGACCAGATAAGATGATGCTAAGTGAACTGAACCCCAAGATAGGGACACAAGTGGGTTTTTTCCTTGCTTGCTATTGTTCCTAATATTTATAATGTACCATGTGTTTTTTTTTGCATTGGGATTTTTTAAAAAATCATTTATTTATAAATCCTCAATAAACTATAAAGATAATCAACCTTGATGCACAAAAAATTTGTGAGTCAAATTTAAAGTTACTAAATTGCAGAGTGTTTAAGTTGGCAAGAAGAATGAAAATCACTCATTTACACACTACTTAACATCTGATTCCTCATTGTTCCAATAAAATAGTTTTATTTTTCATGTCCATTTGATTAAAGGATTTGAGAAACCTACCTGAGATGAGTTCTTTCTGTTTTTATCTCTGGTACCTGAACAATATTTAAATCATATTTTATTTTCTCCTTGTGACTCTTGGGATTTATAGCTCTGAGAAGTCTGCCTTCACTGTTTTGTGTTATTCATCTATAATTAATTAGATTCCTGTCTCAGAATTTTCCTTCGAGAGTACTGTAGCAATTATCTAAAGGCTGGAATTTTAGTTCTTTACCCTTGTGATACTATCTGCCATTCCTATTACATCAAAAAGACCAGAGATGTGGCTCAATTTTTTTTCTGTAAATGTAAAATGACTCATATATTTCAAATTGTTCTCAATACTGTTACAAGTTTTCATGATAGTAGAGTTATAATTTTTAGAAGTACAGAGTTGCACCTTGGAAAATCATAAAAATACTCTACATTAAAACTCTCTTTAACATAAAAATTAGATTAAAGGAGAGGGTATATTACCTAGAGTCAAACATGACATCTCTTTCATTCATATATTTAGAAGAGACAGTAGCAAGTACAATGTACAGAGTTAGATTACATAAAGTGTATTACTTACATCCTCTACATGTCAAAATATTACTTGGTAACATCTATTATTACCCCAAAACTATACTACCAGTCACTTTAAAACCAAAATTAATAATGTAGATCACTTTACATAATTTAATGCTGTAAATAATACAAACAGAGGAAGAAATTGTGAAGATTTAATTATACACTCTAGGATAATATGATTGATTGCTACCTAAGCTAATTATATACACCGACTATTATGAATAGTGCTGTAATAAAAATGAGTGTTCTGAGATATCTTGTGTGAGTGACTTTGTATTTTTCTAAGTTCCTTCCTCAAAGCAAATAATTTAATTTTCAATATGTTCCATGTTAAATGTGAATTTATGAGTGGAAGATAAGGCAATTGGGTGGAAAATTTGCTCTCGTGAAATGTTGGACAATCCAGTCATGGCCAGTCCTCCTTTGTTTCCATGTTAACAGGTTTCAGTCAATGCATTCTTGTGTTCCTTGTCTTAGTCTGGCAGAGCAGTTACAACAAAATGCTATAGATCAATTCGCATATAAGCAATAGTGACAAGAAAATGTTTTTCACAGTTCTAGAGACTACAGTCCCAAATCCCAGACAGATTCAATACAGTCCCAAATTCCAGACAGATTCAGTATCTGGTGGGAGCCTAAATTCCTGTACATAGGGCATGCTGATATTCTGTGGACCTGTTTTATATGGAGATTAATTAAATTTTCAAAAGTTCTTCTCTTGTAAATTTTTTACCTCCCTAGACTCTTATATCCTAACATACCATCATGTTCAAGGTAAGGACCTCAAAATATAGCACAAGATATCACAATGATGGTTCTAAGGTACAGTTTAGGAAGACTGGATGTTAATTGAGGAAATTGTATGTAGTTTGAATCTTACAGAACTTTTTATCTAGAGCCAGAAATCATAGATATTTTCATCTGGTATCTTTTTCTGGCATGACCACAAGTACTTGAAAGAGTGATGTTCAGAAGTTGCTTGTATTTGAAAATTTTGTAGAAGAGAATATTTAACACTGGCCCCCAGAAAACCTGAGTAACCAACTGACTTTTAGTTTCTATCATTGTAATGCATAAAACATAGCTGCTTCCATGTTTTCTCCAGAAGCTGAATTATCACTTAAGCTAGCAGAGAAATTCAAACAGAAAAAAATGACAGTAAGAAATATCTAAGATATACACAGAAATACATACTCCTTAAAATTAATGAAATTGATTTCTATGTCTTTGATGATCCATTACTGAGTGTCCATTCTATCTGCTATTAGTAATGTTAGTGTAGTGTATAGAGGGGCATGCATATGCGAATATGTTGTATGTGTGTTCAAATCATGTATGTATAAAGAACATACAATCCCCTCAGCCCATTTTTATTAGTACCTGAAAAACATTAAAGTCATTATGTTAAGGGCACTGTATTCTGATGGACTATTTTGTGGTCAAGTTTTATAACAATATTTTGGATCTTCACTGAAATTATAAGAAGTAATTTTTAAAAAATCTTAATTATTCTCTTATTGGAGATATTGATGTAAAACATTAGGGTGACAATAAATAATGATTTAAGTGGGTGATGGTGAACTATTTCACCAGGACTGAGACAAAAATTTATGAGAGAAAAAAGAAAATTTTCAGGAGGAAGTGATGGTCAAGCTTGTCATACACAGAAGAACCTTTTAAATCGTTCTTTAGACCTGAACCTGATTTCCTATATACAGACCTGTCTACTTAAAGAATTTGTTTGTTATGTATCTCCCTAATATCCAATGCTTCCTCTAATATAATATATGCAGAGGCCTTCCTTTGGCACATTGTAATTGACTATCATTCCCTGGAATATATTTTACAGTCTTTATTATTTTTCAACAATGCATTTTAAATTATTTAAGGAATCATAGCCTAATATGTCTCATTGAAACATAAATGTCAGTAGGAAATAAATCACTGAAATTTCAGGGAATATAAATCAAAAGTGTTGGAAAACACTCCCTAATTTTTTACCTCCCTAATTTTTCTGTCTTATGGTAATTTTTTATTGTGAAAATACTGCACAGAGGGGTTACAATTACATGGCAAGATAATGAGTACATTTCTTATCAAGCATTGTAGCCTCCTCCTTTGTTTCCCCTACCCATCCCTTCCCAACCTCCCCCAGCTCCCCCCCAGTCCTCCCCTCCCAACAAAGTTGTAAAGTTCGTTTTTCGACAAAAGGACTTGTACATCTCATTGTTGCAATGGATCCTCCTGTATCCCTAGCTAAACGATTTGTTTTTTGCCTTCCCCTCCACAAATTATACCAACATCAAATACAGTGAAAGCAGGGGTTATACCGTGGGGGAGGGACATACAAAGCAACAAATAAATCATCTTATAAATGTGTTAGAAACAATCGCATGATAGAAAAAAGAAAACATCTGAGTACATATCTTAGGGTTCATTTCCCTAACATCAACTTATCTGACCTTTGCTCCTTGTCTCAGACATATACTAGTTATTGCAAATAAGGGAAACCTTGAGACCTATGTTTCTTTGGCTTATTTCACTTAATATATTTTTTCCAAGTCTTTCCTTTTCTTACCAATTGGGCAATGTCATTCTTTCTGATGGAGGCATAGAATTCCATTGTGTATATATGCCACGTTTTCTTGATCCATTCATCTACTGAGGGGCATCTGGGTTGGTTCCGTATCTTAGCTATGGTAAATAATGCTGCAATAAACATAGTTGTGGTGGTAGCTTTAGTGTGGTCTTGTTTGTAAGCATTTGGGTAAATGCCCAAAAGTGGGATTGCTGTACCTCCCTAATTTTTTTTATCATAGCTAAAATTAAATAAAAGAATAAACAAATAAAATGTATATAATTAAATCATGAAAATTTTACAAAATGAAGGAACAAATATATTAAAACAAATTCAATCACGAGGCATGGCATGTTTGAAAATCTGCAATATATTCTTATAATTTCATCTAGTACAATTACATATTTTGTGAAATCAAAATATGAGGTAAAAGTGTATTTCTCTTTTATTGTTAGTATAAATGTGAGATATGGAAAGCTTAGAGTTACATGAGTCAGGTAATGACTACAACTCTTTGGACAATGTCCCCCCTTCCATTCTCTCCCAGCTGTTTTCCCTCTTGTACTCACTGCCAAGCTGACTAGCTCATTTTCAACATAGTGTCCAGTGAGTAATACTGCTATATTTGTTGATACTTGTCCCTCCATGTCTGTGCCCTCCCTTATCATCCCAAAAACAGAATTGAAGGAACAAAAGAAATAAAAAGAAAAGAAAGGAAAAGAGTAACAGCAACAAAGAAAACCTATTTCTATTTCCTGGAGATCATTTTCATAATTATTTTATATGATCAGAGGCACATAGGTACTTTGCCTTGTGCTCTCTCCCTAAAAGAATCTTTAATGGTGTCACTGCATGTTAGTGGATAGAGTCCAAGTACATTTTAGGTCTAGCTTAGTTACATAAAAGAAAACATAGCCATTTGTCTGTCTGAGCTTGATGTACCTCAATCGACATGATTTATAACTATATTTTGTATATATCATGCAATATAATTTTACACTAAAAACAACCACTAGATGAATGTGTACCAGTAAACACAATACAATTATTTAGAGGCACATTTTATTCTTTAGTTTGTCAAGAGCCTGTTTCACATCTTTGTTCCTTAGGCTATATATGAGAGGGTTCAGCATGGGAATCACAAGGGTGTAAAACAAAGACGTCATTTTGTCTTGGTCCAGGGAATAGGAAGAACTCGGCCGGAAATACATGAACAGCATAGTCCCCTGGAAAATGGCCACTGCGGTTAAGTGTGAGGCACAGGTGGAGAAAGCTTTGAACCTTCCCTCAGCAGAGCGGATCTTGATCACTGATAAGATGATGTAACAGTAAGAGATAAGGACTCCTGAGATGGTGCTCAGTTCAATGAAACCGAAAATTGTGAAGATTGCTAATTCATTGATGCGTGTGTCAGAGCAAGAGATCAGCAGGAGAGGAGGCACATCACAGAAGAAATGATTAATCTCATTGGACCCACAGAAACATAAGCGGAATGTCAATGTAGTATGCACCAAAGCATCTGTTATTCCCACCAGGTAAACTGCAGTCAGGAGCTGGGAGCTCACCTTGCTGGACATGTCCACGGCATAGAGCAGGGGGTTACTGATGGCCTTGTACCGGTCAAAGGCCGTCACTGCCAGCAGCATGCACTCTGCATCAGTAAAGATGCAGAAGATGAGGAACTGCAGGACACAGCCTGCAAAGGGAACTGATTTACCACTCTTGGTGAGCAGGTCCACCAGCATCTTGGGCCCTACAGCTGTAGAATAGCAGAGATCAGAGAAAGAGAGGTGGCTGAGGAAAATGTACATAGGTGTGTGAAGCTGGGAGTCCATCCTGATTAAGGTGATCATGCCAAGGTTTGCCATGAAACTGATGAGATACAAAACAAGGAATGTAGCAAATAGAACCACTTTCATTGCAGGGTTATTGGTAATTCCCAAGAGAAGGAATTCAGATGTTGAGGAGCAATTTCCAGTGATCATTCTCCTTTGTTCTTTTCAAACACTGTCACAAAAGGATCAGGAAAGTGAAAAATTAAGTATTAATGCCTCTCTGTATTTAAGCTTGTGCATATAAGCTTAATTGTATATACTATTCACTCTCTGAAAATAGGCCAAGGATATATCCCTACTTAAAGGAGCATTATTGTTAAAAATTAAAACCAAATGACTAATGTATTTTGATCAAACTTTTTCCTAAATTTACAAATAAACGTATATTTATATGTATATGTACACATGTATATTTGTTTATATATATAAATATTTCTGAAACTGCTTACCTTAGTCACTCTCATTTATTCTCAAGTAGAATATCTGAGTAAACTAAACATGTGTTGATACCCAAAATATTGTATCAGAAATTCCAAAGTTAAAGGCAAAAGTAAATATAATCCTTAAACTTGCACATTATTGACACACAGTAACATTGCATATAGTTTAATAATAGAAAATTATTCTACTATTGTTTTAGTATTTAAAATTTATTGACAAAACAAACAAGTCTTATTTGATTTCTTATATCATTCTGTCACTTGTTTTATAGCACATTTACAATCTCTTTGTATAACTCATTCAATTCCAATGGACAAATTTCTTTAAGAAATTAAACCCATGTCATAGAAAAGAAAACTAGGCTATTACAATGATTCTTATTTAAAATTGGCCTTTTACTTGACTTTTTTCTTAAGCTAAGGTAACAACCAGCAGATATTGAGGGGAGATCTATCTTCTGTTCCTTATGTTTCTGTTTGGGTTTATGTGCACATATAGGACACTATAGATGTTTGCTCATTTGTTTTACTAAAATTAGGAGGGAATCTGTATTTTGTCCTTTTTCCTAGACTTAAAAACTGAATTTAACTTATATGATCTACTATTTGAATATATTTGTCTTTGCATTTTGTTAGCTATACTCATTTAAATGCAAATAGAACACATTTAAATTTACTTTCACAATATCATATGCAAAGTGATTTTAAAATCTTCATTAAAATCTTAAGTTAATTAATCCTGACCAACACTAAAAAATGTTATCAGCTAATCTCACACAAGTGTAACAAGAAAATATTACTGGCTAATAAATTGCAGACATTTTAATTTAGCATGTAGGTTCAAAATCATTAATTTACACATTATTCAATCTTATTCCTTATTATACCAATTAAAATAAAATTTTATTTTCTATGACTATTTAATCAAAAGGTATTCAGAAACTTACCTGAGAAGTAAAAGTCTTTCTGGTCTTATTCCTGGTCTGTGAATGACATGGAAATCACATTTTATTTGCTCCTGGTTACTCTTGGGATTTACATCTTTGAAAACTGCCTTTACTGTTTTGTGTTATTCAACTATGATTAATTAGATTTCTGGTTAAGAATTTTCCTTTGAGGATACTGCTTCAATTTCAGTAAAGGTTGAAATTTTAATTCTTTATCCTTGTGTTACTTGCCTACTTTGCAATACTGGTATTCCAATTTTGTTCATCAGACCATAAATATGGTTTAATCTTTTGCATAAATATGAAATGATTCATGTATTTCATATTTATCCAAATATTGTGAGGGGTTTTCAGACAGAAGATTCAAAATTTTTAGATATAGTGTGTTGTTACTTGGGAAGTAATAAAAATATTCTGCATTAAAAATTCAAAAAATTAGGGGCTGGGAAGGTGGCTCAGTGGTAGAGCGCTTGCCCTGCATGCATGAGGCCCTGGGTTCAATTCCTCAGCACCACATAAGCAAAAAGAAAAAAGCCGAAAGTGGTGTTGTGGCTCAAGTGGTAGAGAGCTAGCCTTGAGCTGAAGAGCTGAGGGACAGCGCCCAGGCCCAGAGTTCAAGCCCACGACTGGACCCCCCCAAAAAAATTCAAATAATTAGATTGAAGAAAACTGTTTTACATAATCAAACATGACAACACTTTAATTCAATATCTGGTGGGAATCTAAATTTATTTTCCTAGCCATCCTGATATTCAGTCTGTATATAATTAAGAGGGTCAGGGACAGCTCTGGACCTGTTTCATGTTGGCAGTAATTCAATTCTCAAAGGTTCTAGTCTTGTGAATTTCCATCTCCTTCAGTTCTTCTCCTATAATATATCAGCAGGTTGAAGTGTAGGATCTTAGTATATGGTACAGGAGGTATACCAGTTTTACTAAGGTATACTTCAGAAAAATTGAACATTAATTGAGAAGACAGTATGTAGTTAGAATCTTTCTGATCCTTTTATCTAGCACAAGAATCGAGAGCTGTTTTCGATATGATGTCTTCTTCTGACCTGACCACATAATTCTTGAAAACAGTGATGCTTGGATTTTACTTGTATTCAAAAACAAGATATTTGACACAGACAGCCAGATATCCTAGTGGCTTTTTGTCTCTGTAACTATAACTCCTAAAACATGGCTGATTCCATGTTTTCTCAAGAAGTGACATCATTACTCAAGCCATCTGCCAAATTCAAGCAGAAAAAAACGACACAAGCAAATATCAAAGATGTGTACTCTTAAAGTTTAATGAAATTGATGTGTAGGTCTTTGACAATCCATTACCAAATATTCATTTTATCTACTTTGTAAGAAGTGTTAGTGTATGGAGGCATGTGTGAGTGTATCAGTGCATGTCTGTGAGTGTGCTTGTGTAGAATGTACAATGCCCTCGGTTAACTTTGCTTTTACAAGCATCTGACAAACACTTAAAATAATTATATGAGTGGGCATTGCACTTTTTGTGGTCCAGACTTTACACACATATTTTGGATTAGCATTAAAATTTATCAACAATAACAACAAAAACCCCGCAAGCACAATAATTACCTTATTGGAGATACCGATGCAAAACAACAGGGTACATTTATTTATGTATTTATTTATTATTGCAACGGTGATATTCAGAGGAATTACAGTTACATAAGTAGTGTGTAAATTTATTTTCAAGCAGTGTTACACCCACCCTCGTTTTCTCCCACTTTCCCTCCTCCAACCCAATCACCTTCCCCCCAAGTTGGAAAGTTCATTTCCAAAATGGTGTTTAGTGGGTATAGCAGTGGAGTTGGCTCACCCTTTGTCCCATAGTTTCTGTGCTTCTCCTTCCCTTCCCCAAATCAAATAAGCTTATATACAAGGCAAAAGGTACAGATATCAGAGACAGTCACCATGGAGAGTAAACCAGAGGAGAAAAAAGAAAGAACTGTTAATAGTACATTAAAAATAAAACAAAACAACCATAAAAAACCCACTCCTGTATCTATATCATGGAGATCATTTCAATTAGCATCAGCATCATTAACACACACACACACACACACACACACACACACACACACACACACACACACTGGAATTCTATGCTTTCATCAGAAAGAATGACACCACCCCATTCATAAGGTAATACAAAAACTTGGGAAAAATCCTATTCAGTGAAATAAGCCGGACCCAAAGAAAGATAGGCTCCATGGTTTCTCTCATTTGTTATCATTAGTATATGACTAGAATAATCTTAGCCGAGGTTCCCAGTGGCCCAATAGCTATGTACATATGACCATATAAAATGATGCTCATCAAAATGAACTCCAGAATATGGAAACAAGGTTAACTTTAAATAATGATTGGGTATCTGTGAACAATTACAAGACTATTTCATCAGTGGAAATGTCCTGGAGGTAGTATTGTTCAAGCATGTCATCACACAGAAGTATTTCTTCAGAATCTTTTAAAGTATTCTTTAGATCTTACCCTGATTTGCTTTATAAATATACAGACCTGTTTACTGCAATAATTTTCAATTTGCTGTGCACCGCCTAAAATCTAATCTTCTCTCAGACATGCATCCTTTGCTTATGAGAATCTATATCCATAAAAACTATTCTTTGGTCCACTAGAATCAGATCTTATTCCTTGGTACATATTCTGCAATTTTTTTTTATTTCAACAAGGTTTTGAGGCTCATTTGAATTATTTAAGTAGCCACTTAAAGCCAATTGATTTAACTAGAACATAAATGTCAGCAGGAAATTTTCATGGACTATGAAGCAAAAATATTAGAACATACTCACTAAATTTTGTCATAATTGGAATTAAAAGAAAAATACAAATAAATGAAACTTTGACATAACTATATCAGGAAAATGTTCACACTGAAGGAATAAATATATTAATATAAATGACATGTGTGCAATATTTTCTTAGTTTGTCTAGTACAAATGCACATTTTATTAAATCTAACTATGAGTTACAACTGTATTTCTTATGTCTTTCAATGTAATATTAGAAAAACAACACCACTAGAAGAATGTATACTTATATACATAACATAATGATTTAACAGCACATTTTATTTTTCAGTTTTTCTAGGGCTTGTTTCACGTCCTTGTTCCTTAGGCTATATATGAGAGGGTTCAGCATAGGAATCACAAGGGTGTAAAACAGAGACGTCATTTTGTCTTGGTCCAAGGAGTAGGAAGAACTCGGCCGGAAATACATGAAGAGCATGGTCCCCTGGAAAATGGCCAGTGCGGTTAAGTGTGAAGCGCAGGTGGAGAAAGCTTTGAACCTGCCCTCAGCAGAGCGGATCTTGATCACTGATGAGATGATGTAACAGTAAGAGATGAAGACTCCTGAGATGGTACTCAGTTCAATAAACCCAAAAATTGTGAATAAAACCAATTCATTAACTCGAATGTCAGAACAGGAAAGGAGAAATAGTGGAGGCATATCACAGAAGAAATGGTTAATTTCATTAGGACCACAGAAACATAATTTGAATGTCAATGTGGTGTGTATCAATGAATCTGTCAGCCCCACCAGATAAACTGCACCCACAAGCAGGGTGCACACTTTGCTGGACATGTTCACGGTATAGAGCAAGGGGTTGCTGATGGCCTTGTACCGGTCAAAGGCCATCACTGCCAGAAGTAGACACTCAGCATCTGCAAAGATGCAGAAGGTAAAAAATTGCAGAGCACAGCCAAGGAAAGGAATTGATTTCCTTTGAGCTAATAAGTCAACAAGCATCTTGGGACCAATGGCCGTGGAGTAGCAGAGGTCACAGAAAGAGAGGTGACTGAGGAAGAAGTACATGGGTGTGTGAAGCTGCAAGTCCACTCGGATCAAAATGATCATTCCAAGATTTGCCAGAAGATTTATGATATAGACCAGTAGAAACATGGTGAAAAGCATAACTTCCACGTCACGGTTATTAGTAATTCCTAATAAAGTGAATTCATTTAAGGAAGAGCAATTTCCTCTGTCCATTCTTCTCTATTGTAGAAACAATCAAAAGAGGGTCTGCTCATATTTAATTGTGCACATCAATGAAGAAATCTGTGAAGTAAAACATAATTTGTTTCTATAATTTTCTTTCCCTCCTGAGAGAAATATACATTTTTGTCAAGCTTCAAAGCCATTGTATTCTCACAAGAATAAAATAATAATAACATAAAGCAAAAACTGAGATGGTACATAAGATTTTTTAAATGATATATATGTAGTTGATAATTACATACATATGTAATTATATTATTATATATTATTATATAACACTTCAGGTAGCATTCTATATCTTTAGTTTCTCTTTTTCCTCAAAATGATATGGATGAAACTTGAATTCTAGAGATAATAATCTGTGATAAAGCATTAAAATTTACTAGGCTTAGAATACCTATCAGGAAAGAAAAATAGTCTTATCAATATGAGCACACAACTGACTGAAGAAAATTTGTACTATTACTCTACTTTCTTATACTATGTAGTTTTCAATATATGATGCGTTATGAGAGTTTTATTATATTTTTCCATTTTATTATATTTTTACTTTTTTTATCTTCCTTAGGTAGCTATACGAAGGAGTTGCCATTCAACAGAGCAGTTTCTGAACTCAGTGCCTCTGGATAGATGTCACCTCTTTTAACATTCTCACTCATCTATGCATCCCATCCCCACTGCTTCCTTGACTTTTCCTAATTTTTAGTTATGCATTGACTGTTTTTGCTATTTAGCACAGCTATGTATGTATACAGTGCATCTTGATCTGTATCATCCCTTCAACATCTTCACCTGCCTTCTGCCCAACCCTTCCCTTATTTTTCTCAGTTCTGAGGCATTCTTGCCTGCATTCTACACATTTTTCAGTTCATTTTTCTAACCCCATTCTCTTGAGCTCCACCTCCCACCCCCTTTGAAAGTACCCATTTTCTAGTACTCCTTTTGTAAAGGTTTTGTCTTAATCTTTCTAAAGAATTATATTGCTAGTGTTCTCCATAGATTCTAGTATAACTCAGTTAATTCATTTATAACCACTTGGTTCTCATACAATGTACTAAATTCCAGATTTATAGTAACTTCCTAGTTTCCAATAATGAGGGAAACCATGAAACCTTTGTTTCTCTGGGTCTGATTTACTTCACTTAACATAATCCTGTACAAGTCTTTCCATTTCCTTAGGAATGGTTCAATGTGATTCTTTCTCTGTTTGATTAGAATTCATTGTGCATGTATATTGCATTTTATTGATCCATTCACTCATTGAGATTCATCTGGGTTGATATTATGTTTTGACTATGGTAAATAATTCTGCAGTGAACATGGCTGTGGTGGTGGCTTTAGTGTATCTTTGTTCGTGCTCTGTTGGATAAATGCCCAGAAGTAGAATTACTGGGTCACAGGGGAGTTCTATGTTTAGCTTTTTTAAGGAACCCTCCCATACTGCTTTCCAGATTGGCTGAACAAGTTTACATTCCCACCAACAGTGCAGTAGTGTTCCCTTTTGGCCACATACCCACCAGCATTTGTTCTTGTTAATGGCCATTCTAACTAGGGTGAGGTAGAATCTCAATGATAGTCCCCTAACAAACTGAACTAAGACAAAATAGGAAAGCCACTCAAATAAAGTTAGAGATGAAGAAGGAAATATCTCCACAGATTCAAGCAAAATTCAGAATATTATAAGGGAACAATTATGAGAATCTGGCAGAAATGGATAAATTCTTTTTTCCCCGTTAAGAATTAACGACAGGATAATTCAGAGAAACAGTAAGATAGAAACTGAAAATCCATTTTCAAAATAATATGATTGTTGAAATGGACAAAACAATCAATGAATGTGTATATGATGAAAGTACTTTATATACATGAATATAAATAGAAAAATAAAACCTGTTCAAATTGTTTTAATAAGAGGGCAAAGAACAGAGGATGGGTTGATTTTGATCTAGGTACTTTGTATGCGCCTGTGTTTGGGTACAGATGTATTCCCCCATGCACAACTAACAAAGAAAATAATTGAAACAAAATGAGAGACAATGTTCAGTGGTATTCTGGCTTCTCTGAGTATATGTGTATCTATAAATATGTAATGTACTCTCACATATATATATGTGTGTGTGTGTGTGTGTGTGTGTGTGTGTGTATATATATATATATATATATATATATATATATATATACTGAAATACTGGAAATCATATTGTAACATGGGTATGGGTAAATTTTTCCTGTTGCTTTTTACCTAAATATGTGTGGTATATATTTCATATAGTATTAGTTTACTTATTTATTTGTAATGTGGCACTTTGATTATATGTTAATTCAGTAAAGAAACTAAAAACCAATTTACATTCACATGTATACCAACACAATGATTAAATGAGAAAGGGACTGCTTATGGAAATAGGAAGAAAACAAATAAAAAATATCTTCTCTTAGGCACTGGTGGCTCACACCCTGTCTACTCCAGAGGCTGAGATTTGAGGTTCTCAAGCCAGCATAGGCCGGGAAGTCCCCGAGAGCCTCTTATTTCCATCAAATGCTCAAAAACTTGTGAAGCTGTAGCTCAAAATGGTAGATCTCTAACTTTGAGCAAAAAAGAGTTCAAGGACAGTGTCCAGGCCCTGAGTTCAAGCCCCATTATGGAAAATATATATATATATATGTATATATATATATATATATATATGTACTTTTACTTCAATTCTTGTTAGTATATATTAATTGTACAAAGGGACTTCATTATATTTCCATATATTCTTATAATGAATCTTGATCAAATTTACCCCCTTTCTTATCTCTTCCTCCTTAACTTTAAGCAAATTTTTAACAATTTTATACAAATAAGTTCACTCACTGTCTTTCATTTCTGAAATAGAAATCATCCAGTTCTTAGATGAAATCATCTGAATTTGGTCAGGAGACTTTGGGATTCTTCAAACTAAGTAAGATGGAACAAAATGATACACAACTGATACAGAACCCTCATATTCATCAAAAATTAGGAGATCCAAGTTTAATTTTAAGCTCTAGAACTTACCAAGATGATCGGTTCTTTGATAACAAATGTTCAGCAGACAGTATTGACCTATACTACACAGCATCTGGGACCTAATTCTCTGCATAGATTTCCCTTGGGCTTTGTGATATGCGAACAGCTGATTACTTACATTTCTCATTCTTATATTCCCCTTAGAACATCTTAAGAAACATGGGAATTAAAATCCTGGATATGCTCACAAAATCTATCTGCATCACAAAGAAAACTGCAGATTATTACAATGTGCAGAATATATGCATATATGAGATTTTAATAAGTTTTTATTGTGAAAATACTGTACCTAGGGGTTACAGTTACATGAGCAAGGTAATGAGTACATTTCTTATGAAATTTTATGTGTCATCTCCCCCTTGATCTTAAATAGCCCCTCTGATTCAAGTAATTCCATCTCCTTTGTACTGTTCAATCTTGTTCATATTGCCGTTATTCTCCACAATCTTGCAGGGTTTTGAAAAACTTTTTGACCAGCTTTCAATAATCTTTTGATTATAGAGTATGGAATCCATACTTGAAAAGAATTCATTTCTTTGGTTTATTTGATTTGTTCCCTAGGTTGGACACACTTTAACATCATCTGCTTCCAGAATAGTCATCATGTCTCTAAGAAACACACACCTGTAGTGATCACTCTACCTTCTCCACCACCCCTGTTCCTATGATCCTATTCAGACCTTAAACTACCTTCCAATTCACGTGTTCACTATTCTCCAATCAAACATGATACAATCATATGGGAGAGGTTCTTTGGTAGCAACTTTTCCCTTGTGGTTTTCCAAATCTACCCAAGTTGTATCAAATCTCAGAATTTCAGTCATATTTCATTTTCTGGATGTCACATCTTTTTTTTATTTTTTATTTTTTGGTCAGTTGTGGGCCTTGAACTCTGGGCTTGTGCGCTGTCCCTGTGCTCTTCAGCTCAAGGCTTGAGCCACAGTGCCACTTCCGGTTTTCTAGTGGTTTTATTGGAGATAAGAGTCTCACAGACTTTACTGCCTGGGCTGGCTTTGAACGGTGATCCTCAGATCTCAGCCTTCTGAGTAGCTAGGATTATAGGCGTGAGCCACTGGCACATCCTAAAAAATCACTTATCACTTAGAATACATCTGGGTTGTTGTTTCTTTTTATAGTCATCTGTAGCTGTGCCATGGACATTCATATCAAGAGAAGGTTTAAATGTCACCTGTTCTACTAAGAATTATAATATTGCCATCTCCAAACCATGTATAATCCTCTTACATTTCACCGATTTCATTAGTTTATTGTATTTTCAAAATCATGTATTCTAATATTTGAATTATGTGTAAATTGTGCACATAAGAACTTATCTACTATATTTGTGGATATTTGGTATAGTTTTGTGTTTCTTATAGTGCTTTATAAAAATCTGAAATGTAATCTCTTTTTAAACATTTATTCTTAACTATTTTACATATTTTTATAGTGGAGAGTTCAGAGCAAAGAAAAGTAATGCATTGCCTTTTGCAGATTCATTCATATGGAGCTGTCCACCCCACAATCCTTTTTGTCTTAGTGTAGATTCTGGTCTTATAAATTGGCTCTATAGCTTCTATTATCTTTTCCATTGTCTGAAATCCCAAATGTGAGAAAAATTATGTGTTAACTATTCATTCTTCCTTATATTGCATAATATGATGATCACCAGTTTCACCATTTTTTTCTGCAAAAATCATCCTTTTCTTCTTAGTGGCTTAATGATAATAATCTGAGAAGGAAATAGCAGCAGCAACTGACAAATGAGGTTCCATCACACTAGAAAGTTTCTTCTGCATGGTAAAGGGAACAATTATCAGTAAAGTGACCACTTGTAGAGTGGTAGAAATTCTTTAGCAGATATTTATCATATAGAGAATGATATCCAAAATAAAAAGAATGCACAAATGAATTGAAAGAATCATTCTTTCTTTCAATCAGTAAATAAACTGAACAGAAACACCTGAAATGAATAAATACATAGGTCCATCACAAACATAAGTAAAATATGTCCAACATATTTACCATCAGAAAATTAAAGTAATTTAAACATACACATGCTCATAAAAATAAGTTATTGCTGTATTTGTTTTGTAGATTTGTGATTGTAATAGTATTAATTTTAGAAGGTCGTTTTCACTTTCAGCAGCACTTGGTCCATTAACATAGATACTTAAGACTCCTGCCTGGAAAATCCTTTACCATGGTTATTTGAAAATAATTAAAATATCTATAATTATGTCTGGACCATTTAGATTTCTTAAAAAATGACACAGAAGTTCCCCCAAACTACTTATTTTTGTCAATAATAAAAGCAAATACATTATTTGGGGGAAATTAAATAATTAGCTTAATTAAAGCTTTCTAGGCTTTCATGCAAGTATATTCCTTATAAGAAAAGGGAAGCCGGGTGTTGATGGCTCACGCCTGTAATCCTAGCTACTCAGAAAACTGAGATCTGAGAATCATGGTGAAACTCTTATCTCCAATAAACTAATAGAAAATTGGAAGTAGTGTTGAGGCTCAAGCTGTTGAGCATGCACCTTGAGCAGAAGAGCTCAGGGACAGTGTCCAAGCCCAGAGTTCAAGCCCATGACCACCACCAACAACAACAAAACATAAAAAACAAAAAACAAATGAAAAAGAGGGAAGCACTTCAAACCTATAATCCTGGCAATCTGGGGAATCAGTGAAATGAGTGGCTTTCCCCCCCCCACAGGAAAACATAAGTTGTCTATAATCCAGGTCCAACAAATGTTGTGTGCAATCATGCACAGCAATTTGTTTCATCTAGTGGGGAACATAGTCGTGTTTACCTGTTATACCCAGGGACTCCGAAAGCTCAGACAGGAAGATCACAGGCCAGGCCAGATCAGATGTAAAAAAGAGATCTTCCCTGAAAATAGTCAACAAGGAGCCTAAGGAGTAACTCACATGTTAGAACACTTACCTAGCAAGCATAAGGCCTCAAGTTCCATCCCAGCATGCATGAATGTGAGTGTGCATGTGTATGTGAGTGTGCATGTGTGTGTATGTGTATGCGCACACTTTTAAATTAGACTTCTTTATTTATCCTGAAGAAAGGTTTTCTAATTATTTTCCATCCTGGTGAATGTTGCTACTTTATACTACTCCTGTGAGCATAAGGATTCTTTTTTATTTATTTCTTACACATTTTCATTGTTATTATAAAGGTGATGTACAGATGCATTACAGTTAAGTCAGGTAAAGAGTACATTTGTTTTTAAGCAATGTCACCTGTTCCCTCACTCTTTCCAAGATTTTCTCTCCAGTACCCACCCACAAGTTGTACAGTTCCTTTTCAACATCAGGTCTAGTGAGTACCACTGCTGCAGTGGTTCTCCCTTCCTCCCTCCATTTCTGTGCCAGTCTTAAATTCCCGAAGACAGATAATCAAAAAACAAACAAAAGGAAAAGAAAACATCATAGCAATAAAAAACCCCTTTTTTTACATTTGGTGGAGTTCAATCTCAATGAATATTATATTATTAGATGCGCATAGGTATTACACATATTTTAAGTGAAGTTAGCTAGACCCAGAGAAATGTAAGTTTCATGGTTTCCTTCATTTGTGGTAACTAGAATGTGCCTGTAAGTCAACACAAGAAAACACACGGTATGTTAAAAAAAAAAGTAATAGACTAGAACATAATAAATTATGCATGTCTCTAGGCATTCACACACAGTGAGACCAAAGGAGGATATTCATAGGAAATTCATATTACACAGAGAGTAAGGATTTCTACGTGCACATGATATGCAGAAAGTAGCTAAGTGAAGTTTAGCTAATAGTTGATATAAGGGAAGACAAATTTTTATGGGAATTCTTGGGAAAGTGTAATAGGAGACAGAGGTACTTGGGAAAGTGAGAGTAAGCGAAGGGTTAACCTGACTAAAGAATGGTATGTGTATTTGAAAATAGCATGGTAAAAAATGTGAGCAATGAGCATATATATACTAAAGCAAGAGAAATCAAAGACAGGAATAAGAAAAGCGTCCTGTATGGAGTGGACAGGGAAACATGTGATGACTGATGGGGAAGCGTGGAGAAGGACTTGAGCAAGCATGGAAAAGGGGTTGTGTACAAGTTCTCATATATGCACAGATGGACATGACACAATGAACCCCCTTTTACATCGAATTGAGTCATAACTTCTTCATAGCTAAAGAAATGCTCCACAGTGAAGAGCAGCAGGTCACAGAGTGGAGAAAACAATTAGTCAGGCAGGCTTTAGACAGGGGATACTGTATAATAAAGAACTCAAGAAAGTAAACAACAACAGAAGAAGTAATACATTAAACAAGCAAGCAAACTGAACAGACACTGATATTGATTAATAAACTTAAAAAGAATGTTCACGGTCTTTAACCAGATGGAAATGCATGGATTTTAAGTGCTCATTTCCGAGGTATACCTGGGGAACATTTCACAGTGTCATCATTATGATTTTTTTCCAAAAACATATTGATGATTATAATAGAAATACTGTGTTCACTTCAGTAGGGCCTTCTTAATTTCTGTATCATGAGGGCTGTTTGTGTTGTGAAATTATACTGAGGAACAACATTTACTCTGGAGGTTCTCGAGAATGGTTCATTTACTCTTCTTTATATTTTCATTTTACTTAGTTTCACATTAATTGTATAAGGCAATTTTATATGGTGTTTCACAAAACCATATATTATCATTTTAGTCAGATTGACCCACCTACTCCACTCCTCTTTCTTTCCCCATTCCCATGTCCACCATTGTACAACAGCTGTCCGTCAGATACCTATGCATCTACATACATAGTCAGCATTCCAATGTTATCTGTTCTTTCCTCCTAAGTTACCCTCCACCTTATCTCCCAAGGAGTCCTTCAGCTATGTAATATGATATATACAAATATACCTACATATTAAAAAACCTGTAAATATTAAAATCTTTAGTGCTTTGGAAGAAAGATATGCTTTATGAGGACATAGAAATAATTCGTGGAAAAATCATCTTAGACCCCAAATCATTAAAATGATTGCACAGTGACATTGTTGATACATAAGGATTTTCAAAAGAAATGTTATTAATAAAAATAAATTACATAGACAAAATAAGTTATAGGTCACTTTCCATTACATTTAGAACATAAATAACATTTTCAGTCAGTATATACATTTACAGGAGAAATACAACACATTTAGATATCCCCCCCACTTTGGTAGGGGGGAGGGAGGGAGAATTGGGTGGGTGGGGGTTGGGAAGGGATGGGAAGGGGAAACAAAGGAAGAGGCTACAATGCTTGATAAGAAATGTACTCATTATCTTGCCCATGTAATTGTAACCCCTCTGTACAGTATTTTCACAATTAAAAAAGAGAAAATAGCTGAGTTTTCCTACCATAAAAGGTAACTTTCAGGCCATAGGTAATGACACAAGAATACATTATGAGTTAGAATTTTCTCATAACGTGGGTGCAAGTTAACATGTTTCGTGGGTAACTGAGTGACAAAAAGAAGTAAATCAAAGTAATCCAAGGCACTTAGGGTAATAATTTCCTCAGTGCTTCAATCACCTCTTTGTTCCTAAGGCTATATATCATTGGGTTGAACATGGGAGTGACCATGGTGTAGAAAAGAGAGAGCCACTTGTCAATGTTTGCAGAGTGACTGGACTTGGGTCTCAAGTAGGCAATGCTAGCAGATCCATAAAATAAAATTACAGCCAGCAGGTGTGAGAAGCAGGTAGAGAAGGCTTTACCCCGTCCTTGGGCTGTTGGCAATCTCAAAATGGTGGAAAGGATTTTGCTGTAAGAAGCAAGGATCAGCATAAAGGGAACATCCGCAAACACCATAAATGCCACATAGATGGAGAGTTCAGGCAAAGAAGTGTCACCACAAGCTAGTTTCAGCACTGGACGTACATCGCAGAAGTAGTGGTTAATGCAATTGGATTTACAGAAATTCAGAGAGAATATTGTAGATGTCAGCCCGGTGGGAATAGGGATTCCGCTGAGCAGAGATGCAGCTGCTAGCTGAATGCACCTCGATGCGCTCATGAGCAGTGGGTAGCGTAGAGGGTTGCAGATGGCCACATAGCGGTCATAGGACATGACAGCCAGGAGGAGACTTTCATTCCCTGCCAGCACCATGAAGAAGTACATCTGGGTGGCACAGCCCAGCAGAGAAATGCTTCTATCCTGAGTCCAAATATTGGCCAGAATCTTAGGGAGAGTGACTGACGCGTAACAGATTTCCAGGGAAGAAAAGTTTGCTAGGAAGAAATACATGGGCTTCTGTAAGGCAGGATCAAACTTGGTTATTATGATCAGGAGGCTGTTTCCTACCAGAATCGTTACGTACATGATGACAAACACTCCAGAGAGGAGCCCTTGGAATTTGGGAAGGTTAGAGAAGCCCAGCAGGATGAATTCCTTCACTGTGGAACCGTTGTCTTCCGCATCTGACTTTTCAGGCTGCATCTGTGGGAATGACTTGAACAGTAATATGTCATTTCACACCTCTCTTACATAATACTTGGATGTCACGTTCTCTTGTTGTAACCATTTCCTGAACCAAAAATTCTATAACTTTCAAAAGCTTTAAAAGTGTAATTAAACATATTTTTCACTATTAGTAAATATCCAAACAGAATTTTCTACAGTATCCAAGGGATATTGCATTTGCTTATTTATGATGAAGACATTTTAATATTTGCTGTTTATTTTTAATATCCAGAATCTTAAAATCTTAACTTATAGTCAGTGTAGTAAGAGGAAGTTTGTGTGTGTGTGTGTGTGTGTGTGTGTGTGTGAGTGGTGTGCAGGTCCTGGGGCTTAAACTCAGGACTGGCTCTGAGCTCTTATTTGGTCAAGACTAGGACTTTACTACTTGAGTCATTTATCCATTTCTGGCTTTTTCTTTGGTAGTTATCTGGAGATATGAATCTCAGAGATTTTTCTGTTTGAGCTGGCTTTGAACCAAGATCCTCAGATCTCAGCCTCCTGAATAGGTAGGATTACAGGATTACCTGGGTCTGGCTTATTGTTGTTTTCTTTATGTTTATGATTGACTTCAACTCACAATTCTATGTTTTATTATATTTAAATAAAAATTTATGTCACTACTCAAGTGAATACATTATATACCATTTAAAATAAACTCAGGAAAGTTTTTTTTAACATTTAAGCTATGGTCTTCATGTAGTGTTTCTTAATTTTTGGTCATGTGTGCTGTATAGGGCTATGTAATTATCATAAAAAGATTAATAAAGTGGGTAATGTTGATCAAAGTATATTATATGCATATATAGAAACACAAAAATGAACATCATTGTCCAATTAATGTATATAAAGAAAAATAAATATGATTAAACTATCAAATGTTTTGGACTTTATTATTTACATTGTGTTTGTTTAAGTAAGTAGACAAGTGTGCAAGTGTGCAAGTTTAAGTAAGTAGACAAAAATATTATTTCCTGATACTGCAGTATAAAGCAGTTTTCTGTCTAGGAAATTTCAGAACACAGTTTTAACCAGAAAATTCACATACAAAATACAGGCTTATTATATAAATGGAGCACCAACCACAACTTAATCTGTATGATTGACCTAAATCACTATGTATTTATTTTGTGGCTTAGTTCGTTTATTTACTTTTTACGTATGCATATTCATGCACATGTGGTTATTGTTTTTCATCGTTACTATTACTGGTCTTTAGAACTAGATTATAAATTTCTTTTGGTAGTCTCTATAGCTTTGTGAAACATACACCATATTGGGCCATAAAACCAGATAAACTAAATTAAGGGCTAAAAATTCAATTTGTTCTTTTATTGCATGGGACAAATTATGTTAGAAACATGTTCAGAACCCAAGCTCTAGTTCTGGATTCAATTTGCCTCACCTGTTTATCATTGTGCAGATTCATCACACAAGCAGTAGGAGTGGGGACAGGCAATGGTTATGGTATTTTCCTTCATTTTTTCTGAGTTAGCCTTTCTTTTTTTTTTTTTTTTGTGCCACAGTGCCACTTCTGGCTTTTTTTCTTTTTGCTTATGTGGTGCTGGGGAATTGAACCCAAGGCCTCATGCATGCAAGGCAAGTGCTCTAGCACTGAGCCACCTTCCCAGCCTGTGTTAGCCTTTCATCTCACCGTTTTGATATGAGGCAGATCACTGCCCCATTCTGTGTTGAGTCAATTCACTAAGAGGAAACAAATACATGACCACGTACAAAGAACCGGTAAGTCTATATACTAAGCAAGATGTTGGCTATGAAAGTGTTTAGACACAAATAGAGAGGTAATTACAGTGTGCACAAAAATTGAAATCACAGGTTTGCTAGGACTGCAAAATATAATTTGTCACTTATAATATTATATACAAAACAATAACTATCTTAAACTATTTAAAATTAATGATTTTGTAATCCAGCAATTGGAATTGGTTTTACAGAGTGTAGAGATGTAGTAGCATGATGTCACAGTACTGAAATTTGAGTGGTTCTGAATAAAAGCTAGGGAGACTCTAGGACGGAGGGTGGTAGTGTAGTGGCTACTAAGATCTGGTTAGTTACAAGTAAGAAGCATTAGTCTGCCATTGTGCTGCAGGCTATTATATTTTACTGTCCTTTTCAAAAGAAAACTTTGAATATATATGTTGATAAACAAATGGTAAATGTTTGAGGAGGCAACTTTACACTGATTTTAGCATTGTGCAAATGTATATGTGTATCAATGCATCCCAGGATAGTCTTATTGTTTGCACAAGTTTTTTGTAACTGGTAAATATAAACAATAAGAGAAAAAGTGTAATAGATTCCCTGACTAAAATGAACAAATGTGATTTTATAATTTGCCACAAATCAGTATCTAAAAGTGGAATTATTAGAATGTAATTTTATACAAAGATTACACAACAATTACTCTTCTAATTTACTGCCCTCCATACTTTAATCCTAATTCATTTCATTCACACAATTCATTCATTCCAATTTAATTTAAATTCTAGAGACTAACACAAGTACAATAATAGTAACTTTTAATATTAGAAGGTTAGAATTCAAGCCATTTAAGTAACATTTAATATCATTGTGGTCATCTATATAAAATTCTGCTTTTATGAGATGGTTTTGTTATATGTGAAATACATATACAGAATACATAAATAGGCACTCAAGACTTAATGATCACTTAATGTTAATATTTTCTGGTATCAAATATTATTAATGCTAAACATAAAAGTATTTGCAAAATAAATATGCATTAGAGAAATGAATTTATTAAGTATATATTTAAAAGTTATATCTGAGACTCACCATTATTGGCTGAATGAAACTTAGAAGAAAAGGCAAAGTAGACTTTTTTAAGATTTGATGATTTTATTTATTTGGAAAAAAGGCTAACTTTTCAAATATATTCTAATGCCAAACCTAAAAATATCCTTTTAATACTGCCTACTGTCCACCCTAGGGATTATACATTTTCCCACACAACTTTTTAATTGAACTAAACCATTCTGCCTGCCACTCAAGGAGTTTGCTACCAAAAAAGCAAAACAAAAAACCCAGCTTACTATTTCAACTAGAAAATTTCAACCTCTTTTCTTCTTCTTTTTGATCATTTAAATATGTGCCTTGAAAACATTATGAGTATATATTACTTAACATATAAGCAATTAATGGAAATATTGATTGTGATTAACTGGACAGAATTTAATTTTCCTGTCATTGAAAATCGAAACAGAGTTCTCAGGCAGCTTGGTTGGTTCTGGCTCCTCCATATGAGTCTTCCTTCTCATATCCTCCCAGCCCACGGGCCTCATCTGCTTCCAGGAAGAGGGTGGGGATGTGTGTGCAGGAATGGACAGGTCCAATCCCCTATTCCTCTGCAGCAACACAACAAGAAGCAGCATGCAGAATGCCACGTGAAATGAGTCATGAGAACGTACCATGCTGGAATACTGTCCATTTCTAGCTGAATTGCCAAGTGCATCATCAGCAATTTAATTTTCTATTAGCAATCTTCACTTGTAATAAACTTCAACTCCAAGTGCTAATTTCCCCAAATCTAAAAATCAGTGATCAATACGGACAGGTTAATGATGGCATCTTGTAATAATAATTTTTAAATTGACTGGTCCTGTTGGCTCATGACTATAATCCTACTTACTCAGGAGGCTGAAATGTGAAGATTACAGTGCAAACACAGATGGGATAGAAAGGTAGACTCTTCTCTATAGTTAGCAAAACCTTGAAAGAAGAGGTGTGGCTCAAGTGGTAAAGGGCCGGCTTTGAGTTATAAAAAATTAAAAGTAAAGAACAGCACTCAGCCCCTGACTTCAAGCCCCAGTATCAGCACCTAACACACATGAAAATTTTATAGTAGAAGAATACATATCTGTAATAACTACATGATGAACAAAGGTACACACTTTTTTTTTACAAAATACAATGCATGAGAAAGTTGAATCTGGCATAAGTGTTCAGGAAAGGAATTTCCAAGTTAAATGATTATGGAATGAATAAAATGTAGGGACTTGAGACATAGAGGCAATGCAAAGAGGTAAGATTGTAGTTATGAGTACTTATATTGGAATACTAGAGATAAAATATTTGGGAGATGAAATTTTTATTTGTTACAGGTCAAGGAAAATGAAGAACTATCAATTTTAAATGTTCTCATTTATTTAAGTTAATTTACATTATACAGTGAGAACTATATTGTTGGTTACTTAAATCTACTAGGAAATATTTTACACATCATAATAGGTACTTGGAAATATAGTTCTTTAATATTAATTGAAAGGGACATGAAGAATTTTGAAGAATGTCAAAATTAATCACAAACTACATAGAAGTAAGAGAATCTTTAAAAAGCTTATTGTAAAGATGATTTACAGAAGGGTTACAATTATGTAGGCCAGGTAATGAGAATATTTCTTTTTGAAAAATATCACCTCTTCCCTCCTTTGCTCCAATTGTTTCCCTCCCAACTGTTGTCCCATTTCCAACATAGTGTCTAGTGAGTTTTTAGTGTCTAGTCAGTTTCACTGTTGATTAGTTCACCCTTTGTTCCACCATTTCTGTGCTTACCATTCCCATTCCCAAAGCAGATAAACTTACATACAAGACAAAAAATCTTACATACAAGAAAAAATTACAGAAATCAAAAACAATGACACAAGCATAAAAATAACAACAAAAATAACACATTAAGCAAAATAGGAAGCCTCATGTTTCCATTTCTTACAGTTTATTTCCATCAATGTCATCTTATATCATATGCACATATCAATTGAACCTTTGTGATCCTTTCCTAAGAATATTCTCCTTTGGTCTCACTGTGTACATATTGTCTCTGAATTATAACACATTCATTAGGAAACAGAACGCTGGGTTTTACATGATTGGCTACATTCTACCAATAATAATTTAGTGACTTTATTTATATTACTGAAACATGTGGTCCTATATTTTCT